TCTCTCTCTCTCTCTCTCTCTCTCTCTCTCTCTCTCTCTCTCTGTGTGTGTATGATATGTATGTGTTTGTGTGGGCATCTGATATGTTCATGTGGGTGCCAGTGCACATGAGTGCATATGCTTGTGGAAGCCGGAGGTTATGGGATGTCGGCCTGAGTTACTCCACCAAATTTCTTGAACAAAGTCTCTCGTTGAACCTGGAGCTCATTAATTCAGCTGATTAGCTGGCTGGTCAGCTCTGGGGGTTCATGTGACGCTGCCTCCCTGGCTCTGGGGGTTCATGTGACGCTGCTTCCCCGGCTCTGGGGTTGCAGACACAGCAGCCTTTTACGTGGCACCGGGGTCTGAACTCGGGTCCGCATGCTTGGGCAGCAAGCACTTACCACTGGGCCATCTTCCCTGCCCCCAAGTCACTTCCTGTTGTGGATTTTATATATCACCTGCCTCCCAAATCCACAGGAACTACATTACAAATACTCCTTAGCAGAGACTCAGAACTGTGGGTGGAGACGTTCTCTGTATAAACCTTTTCCTGATGCACATGCATCTATGATAGTGTGAAATTCATAACATGGACACTGCAAGTGATTAGGGATAGCCGATAATCCAGCAGACCAGTCAGAACATGGACTGTAATGAACGTTATTTAAAACTTGCGACATTTTCAATTTACTATGTTTTGTCCTTTGTTGACCACACAAGTAACAGAAACCACAGCAAATAAGAGAGAGAACACTGTGCTATGCAGCTGTTCATTGTTTCTGAGATGGTATCAGATGGCCCAGGCTAGCCTCAAATTGACTGCATAGCCAAGGCTTGTCTTAAGATCCCAGTCTGGGGTCCAGTCCTCCTGTTTGTGGGAGGCCAATTCCCACCTTCTCCAGGGTTCTTATGAGGAAGAGAGAGGGATAAGATATCTTTTTAGATAGAAAGATAGCAAAGAGGAGAAAGACAGAAGCACAGGATAGCTTCAGGAGGACCTGGATCAAAACCCACCGGCCCCTTCTGCCTCTTCAAAAGGGCTTTTTATAACAATGCCAAGGGGAGAGGCAAAAGACCTCCCCCTTGCTAGATCAAAGCACACGGCACAGCCAAGCATAGACCCTTCCAAACACCTGGTAACCACACCCGTGGTCAAGTCATCCCCTTATGCAGCCCTGCTGGGTAAAGCAAGCTCAGATTCTTGGACCCTGAGTAAGTGTTCACTAGGAAACCTCTGTGGGTCTCTATACACGCTCCACCTCCCAAGTGCTGAGATTACAGGTGTGGGCCACCACTCCCACATTAGATGTTCTGAAAAGTGGTCTGTTGGGCCCACAGCTCAGTTGGTAGATGGCATGCCTAGTGTATCAGCTGCTTTCCTGCTGCTATGATGAAACACCATGACCGAAAATGGCTTAGAGAATAAGGTTTATTTTGGCTTATGGTTCCAAAGGGAGAGTCCACAATGGCAGGAGAGGCGTGGTGCCAGATAACCAGAGCAGGAAGCAGAAAGGTCCCATCACAACCGCACACACAGGAAGTAGAGAACAGAAAGTAGAAACTGGGTAAGGCTAGAACTCTCAAAGCCCACCCCCCGTGACATAATGTCCTCTAGCAAGGCTCCCATTCTAAAAGTTCCATATCCTCCCCAAATGTCACCAACCGGGAACCAAAGTTTAAACACATAAGCCTATGGGGCCATTCTCACTCAACCACCAGACCTAGCATGGTCCAGGCCATGAACTTGGCTTCTAGGACCACATAAAATTAGGCACTGATGGTACATGCCTATTATCTCAGCACTTGGGGGGTAGAGGCAAGAGGATCAGAAGTTCAAAGTCATTCTCAGCGATATAGAGAGTTTAAGGGAAGCCTAGGATACATGAGACACTGTCTGAGAGAGAGACAGAGACACAGAGACAGAGAGACACAGAGACAGAGACACAGAGACAGACAAAGAGACAGACAGAGACAGAGAAACAGAGAGAGACAGAGACACAGAGACAGACAGACAGAGAGAGAGGAAGAGAAATACAGAGAGTGTGTGTGAGGGGCTGGAGAGATGGCTCTCGGTGGGTAAGCATGTGCTGTATAAGCATGAGGATTTGAGTTTGAACCCCAGTACCCACATATAAAGCTGGGTAACCCTTGTGCTGTGGGGGGCCAAGACAGGAGGGATTACTGCCAACCTAGCTCCAAGTTCAGTGAGTAGGAATATCCTGGAGAATAATAGAGAGGACACCTTACATTGTCTTCTGCCCCCACATACCTGTGACTGACATACCTATGTACGCATGTGCATATACACTACACTACACACACACACACACACACACACACACACACACACACACGCACACGCACATGCACAGACATTTTAAAAAAGAAGAAAGGAATGAAGAAGGAAAGAAAACCGGAAAAAGAAGGAAAAGAAAATTGGTCCCTTCAGAAGACTCCTTTAGCCCTGTTAAATGTGGCTCTGGGACCCCACTCACACCACTGAACACCTGCCTCCTCTCTACCTCCCTGGCTTGAGGGCTTCAGTGCACTGCAGCTCCCAACATCACCTGGAAATGTACCCTAGGAAGCAGACCCGAGGAGGATGGCATCCAAGCAAAGAGTTGTTTTAGGAGGGCCACAGGCTTGTCATTTTCCAGCTGTTCATCTGGACCAGCCCAGGCAACTTTAAAACAAGGAGGCTCCCAGAGACTGTAACTAAAGGCACTTTACTTCCTCAGTTTTCATTTCAGAACATTCTAGAAACACAGAAAGTACAAATTTGACTGTTGAATTTGTGTGCCTATATATCAGGAACCAAGAGATTCCCAGGTGCTTGTGACGGTCCTCCTGTTCTTTCGTCTTTAAGCTCAAACTCCTATTTACTTATTTATTTATTTAATAA